GGGGAGAAAAGAGGGCGCGTCACTCCTACGCTCCTATAAATTTCTATACTACAGGTTGCACACATAGATCTGGGGATTAAGTATCTCAAGCAAAAACTGAAAGAAATGCGACAAATAGAAGTTTGCGACGCAAGTTTCCCCCCTGCTACAGAGGGTGGACCCTAACTCAAACTCCATCCCGGCTGGAATCTCCATCTTAAGGATCACAGGGGCAGATTGGGGGCAGTCATTCGCGCAGAAAGCAAGATGACCCACTGCAGGACAGGGTATGGTGTCTTTCCTCAACGGGAAGTGTAATTTTACGCGAGCCCGTCTAAATCATCAAGGCCAGAACTTGTTCTTTCATTTCTCTTATAAAACACCAAAAATTCTCTAGTGACTGTCTAGAAATAGTTTATTCTAGTAAAAATCACCTCGCCCAAGGTGACTAGATTATTATATGACACAAAACGTATTAGGGCGCGTGCATCTCTCTAATCTCATATGGGGACAATTAAACTAATATACTGTAAGCACATTACCATGGTCTGTCGTCCTGTTGATATCCATCAAACGAATAGGGTAACGTTTCATTTCCAAGGTTTTCCTATTTCGAGAGTAAAAAAGGTATTGATCAGTTATATTGACGCAAAAAAGTCCGTGGTTTTGACAAAACTCATCAAGAAGATATGAACAACGACTTAACACGAGACACGACCGTGCAACTTCCACCGACAACAGACAAGAACATTCTCCCTTCAAACACATGTTCCCTTTAAAGCATGTTTGAGAGAGTCCTAAAGTTTAAAACCACCTTCCTCAAACCTATCCAGTCTTTTAAACTAACAGCTTCTGAGTACGCTAGTAAAAGCTACTATGAAAGCTTATGTTGCCACACTGGTTGAAAAAGTGAGAGTCGGCCTTAAAAATATGCGACGGTTTCCTCAGGCAGTAGCTACAAAATAAAATATAACGATACTAACAAAGAGGATTTAAAGCTCTCAAATGGTGCCATAACCTACCGGGACAGATTGGACAGGTTGTTGAATAACTACAGACGGAATAGAAACATGCTCCACACTTTTCATGACTCCGTTCCTAGACAAAGGACTTCGACTCACTCGACCATACCCACTCGTACCAGTACCACGCAAAGGAATCCTGCCTGTCCGCGCCGGCGGTTTAGGCGGTTCGCGGGATTTCTCATTAGACATGTCTGTCTTCATATTAGATACACTGAACTCATTCGGTGATTCATTCCACGAAACAGTTTTCGTCTCTGCGCTCCCAACCTCGGAGGATTGTCTATGCAAAATTTGCCTTGAATTCGTTAAATTCTTGCTGTGCTCTTTCGATCGACTCGAC